TAATAAAATGTTCTCAAATAAGAGAACCTTATTTTAAATATCAATGTTCTTTACAAAAATTGTATGTTCTTTGAGAATCATGAGAATATTGAATTTTAAATACTACTTACTATATATTAAATCTAACTCTAAACTTTACAAAAAAACACCCCAAAAATTTTTAAAATTTCATATAAATAAAGGTTTAAATTTTATCATCAGCTAGTTTTATTATAAACCATGATACTTGATATGGCTCCACTACAAAATTCTAAAACCTATTTTTCTAAAAGAATATAATACCAACTAGATTAGTCAGCATTATAACTAATGCTAGCTAATGTTGTCAGAACTAGATTCTTTTAGGAATCTGTCCTTTGAGATTTTGTAGCAAACCCCAAATTTTAGTTTTAGCCAATTTTAGTATTTAAAAATATTTGTATATTAAAATTGCAAAAAATTTTTTATTAAAAAATTTAATTATAAAAAATTAAAAAATTTTAATTTTACATATACACAGGATATTGATTTGTCAAAACAAAAAAATTTTAAATACTAATTAAGATTAGTAAAAGTGAATTTAAAAGGCAAGAAAAATAGTTTATATCAAAATTTCACAGATAATTTTTTTTATTAATATTAGGTGATTTCATAAGCAAAATTTTGTTATTAATAATTTTTTAAAGAAAGCAATAATTTTATTCTTAAAGCTTAGCAAATCATGTGTCATTATATTTTTCATTAACATTAAGGATAAGGTTAGAATTAGAGTTTCTATTAGTTATTTGAACCAAGAAAAATTTCTTTAATCAGTTAACCGAATCGAATTATTTTATTCAACTAGTTGCCAACTGATTAAGATTAAGATTAATATCTATACTATCTTCAAAAATTCTCAGAGTTTTATATTAATTTTGTCTTGTCTTTTATTTTTATTTTTTTCTTGTTAGAACTTTTTGGCACTTCTTTATACTATATTAATCCCGCCAACCAGTTATACTGGGTCAACTGATTAAGAATTTCCTCAACCGGTTACCTGAAATTTATTCGGTTTGGGTCAGTTAACCAATTATGGCTCAACCGATTCAAATCACTAGTTTTTATAGATAAAATTACCTTTTCGACATTTTTTGTTAATACTTCAAGGTGGGTTTAGACTACAGTTTCTTTTATTTTTTTGCATATTTCTCTTTTTTTCACTTGTTTTGCTTTATCAGGTTGATTTGGGATTATCAAATTTTAACAATTTGATTGGTCAATTATTATATAATCTGCCTGGCTTTAAAGAACCCCAAATTAAAAAACCAAGCTCTAGAATAATTTACATACTGATTCTTATATCTGATTGGTTATTATATATATTATACTAGCTGCACTTTGGCATTTTATAAAAAAATTCTTTTAATAATTATTAGATAGTACAAGTTTTCAAATAAGCAATATAAAACATCTAGTTTTGTTAATCCTATTTAATCTCTCAGACAAATCTGGTTTACTTAAAGTAAATAAAATATTAAAAACTAGATTTTTTTTTAGCTAATATAAAATGTAAAGCTTTATTGCTGTCTTAATTCAATACAAGATCCTAGAAAAAGCTTATTGTATTACGACAAATAAGTATACAAAGTTATACTAAACAGATTATTTTTACTATCCATCTTTGCCTTAACTCAGTATGAAGTTAAAACAATAAATAGTAAAAATAAGTACATCTAAGTTATATTTTAGTGACCTTTTTTATTTTTAAGTTCTTAATTTTTTAATCTTTTATATATATATCCTAAATAAAAAAAAAAATCGAACATTTTGTCAATAAATTTTGAAATTTACTAATTACTTTGAATTTTGGTTTAGATTTATTACAAAAATTTAGTTAAAATTTATAGTTTTTACTATACAAAAACCAGTTAAAGGTGTTTTTTTAAGCGATTTGTAACAAACACTGTTTAGAATAATCATTTGGCAAACACTTTTTTATCCAATCAAAATACTTTTTATTTGGTATTCTAAAAAACATCAAAAACATATATACAAAACTATTTTATAAATATTTTCTCTTATTGAACATGACGCATAGATAAGTTAATAAAAAAATTAATATTTCCGCCAATATTTATCCAAACCCTTCCAAACTTTACAAAAAAAATCCTACATATTGTCCCAACTAGTGTGTAAAATTTTAGCATAGATTATTATGTATGTTCTCGAGAAAAATGAGAAAACCAAGAAATTTTGTGCAACTTCATCAAAAATTTCGTATCTACAAAAGTTTATGAAAAAAATTCATTATTCTGTCAATATCGATTCTAGAGCTCCAAAATTTTAACTACAAATAGTTGAATTCCTTACCAACAATCTCTATTAATACATGTTTATATGTTTCATTTCACCAAATATCTTCTGGAATTAAATTTTTGCAAGAGATAATTTGTAAAAATCGTAAGTCTCTATTTTTTACAAAAACCTAATATCTCTGTGCGTTTTCATTCGTTTTGAATGAAATTTGAGATTCTACTTGCTTGAGATCTATTCTAGAGACGTACTTAGTAAGGTTTCTGAGGTTAGCATAATATAATTTAGAGTAAATCATCGCCATGTAACAGGTATTTTGTGAAAACATATAGAAAAACATGAACATTTAAAGATTTTTAGATTTTTTTTTAGAATATTTATATTTTTAATCATGGGATCATTACTAAATTTGTAAAATATGAATTAGAAAATTCATAAAACACCCCAATTTAGTAAAATACTAATTTAGTAATTCAATTGTATTTCCAAATTAGTAAAATAAAGAATTATGAATTTATTACTTAATTAATTTTAAATAAAATAGAATTTTTTTTTTTTAGTATTAATTTATTTGACCAATAAAATGCTAATATATGACAAACATGAAATAAAAGTATAAATACAGATATTATGTTTGTGTTTTTTAAAAAGATTAAAACAAAATAAAAAAACAAAATAATAATTTATTTCATAATAAATTATATATGTATTTAAATTTTAATACTTATTATTTTGACTAAGAAAAATTCGATGAGCTTATTAAAAAATTTTTTATGATGAAGAAACATGCCCATTCAAACGTTTCGTTTATAAATTATAATGCTAAAGACCAGAATTTAGATTGTCATATTCAAGGATTTTTTCATTTAAAAAAACAAATAAGAATTGATAAATATAAATTGGTTGATAATAATCAATTAAAAAAAGGAAAATTTGGAATTAAAGAATTATTACAAATTGATAAGATTCATTTTGATCTGGTTGCTAGTGATAAAGATTCAATTCTTTATTGTAAAAAGAAACACAACAAATATTCAATTCACAATCATATAATAATTAAACATGAGAACTATCTACATCTTTCAAAAAAAGAATTTTCAAAAAATACAATTACAGATTCTAGAAAAAATCATCTAGCAATTTGTCGATATAGTTATGATGATTTGAATGATTTTTTAAATATGCTTGGTGTAACTTGGAATATTGTTCTCAGAGGACATTGGCTCATTATGATGAAAATTCAGGTCTATTCGATTACTTAGATGGAAAAATTTATAAAGCTGGTAATAAAATTGGAAACAATCGATATATAAAAAGAACAAACAACAGTAAGAAAATAATGGAAGATCTATTTGAAAACCATTTGACAAGTGACAAAGCAATTGTTAAACATGAACCAGAAAATAATCAATGGTTTTTAATAAATCCTTCTTATATAGATAGAGTTTATAAGACTATTGAAAATCTGGAAAAGCAAAAAAAATCATTTGAAAGATGTTGAAAATCATGTAATATTTACATTTATGGGTCTTCACAAATAGAAAAATCATATTTGTTAGATATTTTATTTCCAACAGCTTACAAAAAATTAGTAGAAGATGGAAAGTGGTGGGATAACTTCAAGGAACAAGATATTGTTATTATTAATGAATTTGATGGTTCACTTTTCAAATAGCAGAAATTATTAGATATGTTGAATTGTAGAAAATAATCAGTACAATTAAAAGGCTTTTATATGAATTACATGCCAAAGATTCAAGCTTTTTTGTCAAATATTCCATTAGATAAATTATATTATACTGCAGAAGATTATCCATATTTTGTATTATCAAATAGAAATAAGAAACCAAACAGAAAATATTACTCTTCTTTAATTGGCCGTTTCGACTACATAATAGAATATTGAAAATTCTAAAAAAATGAGCAAAAAATTTGTCAAAATGAATGTACTTGCTGCCAGATTATGTGAATTTTTCATAAAAGATCACGTAAAAAGTTTAATAATTTCAAATTTGTTTTAGAATTCAATGCGGATGTGAGTGAATCTAAGGCAGTATTAATAATTCAAAATATTGAAAATAGAAAAATTTTTCAAAAACCAAAAACAAAAAATATTACTTTAGATATCTATATTTGGCCGATACAACAAAATATATTACAACTAATTATAAGAATATCAATAAAAAAAAAAACAGATTTAATAATTTATCCGGATATTATTGAAAAAATAAATTGTCAAAATAGTTCAAGTGATAAAGAGATTATTATTATTGATTACAAAGATTACAAAAATTCACAACAAAATTTAAAAAAAAGAAAATTAGAAAAAACTAATCCAGAAATAAATCAAATTTCTAAAAAATATCATACAACAATTAAATCAGATAATAGAATCAAAACAGATTTTGATTCAGAACCAGAAGTACAGAAGAATTTATCTACCAATGAAGTACAAAAGAATTCATCTACAAATAAAGTACAGAAAATTTTGTCTACCAATAAAATATAGAAGATTTTGTCTAAAACTTTAATGAATTATTTAGACCAAGATAGCATTAAAATAGGTTATAAATTAGACTCACAAGTAGAATCTTTGACGACTCAACAAAACAACTATCAGCACTCAGAAAATTTTAATGAATCTAAGTCTGAATTATCTGATCTTGATTCAGACGATTCGTTGTATACATGAAAAAAAAAAAATGAAGCAAATCCAAAGTTATTGATCAAGATACTATTCAGACGAATCATCAAGAATTTTTAAATAAAAATGAAAAACACATTCATGTATCTGAGGAGTATTTAGTTTATGAAAATGATTTATTTGAAGATGATTCAGATATTAGCAATGATTAATTAAAAATATTTAGCTTTCTTTTTTTGTATTTTTTATTATTTTAATTATAATTATTTTATCTATAAATATATCTTTTGATTATTAAATAAAATTACTTTTTTTATAATAAAACAATCACAACATAACATCGCGTTATTGGCAGACAATAAAGAATTAATCCATACAAATACTCAATTATGTAACCAAATTCTTAAATTTCAAAACACTAATGACGATCTAACCAATAAGATTCGTAAATTAAACAAATTAATTGATTCATTAAAACTCGTTACTGCTGATGCTCTAAATCGGGAACAGCTATACAAATCAGAAAATTTTGCTGTATTTGAAAAGAAAGTTGATGAAATTATTTTCCTTAATTTTTTAGATAATATCGAAATTAACAATATTTTAATTCAAAATTTAGTTAATTTTATTAAACTTTATCATACAATGATCAAGTAGAATAAACATTTCAAAAAAATATATACATTAATACTATTTTTTCTTTCAATCTTTTATAATTTTGTAACTGGGTATGACAAGCTTCGCATTATTGAGTATATTCTTGCTAACATGTTCATATTTGGCTGATTTTATTATTTTTACCAGCAAAAATATTCAAATCAATATATCTTTTTAGCTATTTAAATTTTTATAAGACCTTTTTACTAATTAGAAAATCTTTGGTTTCAAAAAAAGACAACTCTTCCCATCGATCACCTGGACCAAATTTTCTGCTAACGAAAAACAAGTTTTTGTTGGAGAGTCGTGGCCTAACTTGCAGTTTGGCGAGAGATTAATAGTTTTCTCTGCCCAGGACTCCTTTTTAGGCTGTTCAGTATACAAGCCAAGAGCGTTGGTATTCAAGATAACTGGCAGGCAGTGCCTTTGGATATAAAATCTTGGTGGAGAGGCTGAAATGTAGTATTTGTCGACGAAGCTTTTAGGCTGTTACTTCTTGGAAGAACACAGGGGAAACAACAAACAACTTGAGATTTCAACACACTCTTTAGAAAATTTTGAAGTCTTTGCAGCCATATACCCTCAACCATATTCCCGCTAGGTTTTAAATTTTTAGGAAATTTTTACTAACAAAAAGTGGGAGAATCGACTTACCCTCTCCAAAAGATCTGCATTGTTTACGGGTCCTGATGTGGAATGGGACACTCCCAATTACGGTAACCGGTAGTACATGTTGTGCTATTTTAATACCAGGTAAACTGCTATTGGCGGGGTACGAATTAGGAGGTAAACAAGAGTCACAAGTCTACGTGTAGGATAATGACTGACATTGATGCGAAGTAGAGGATTATCTAAGAATTTCTTGCAGGGCTAACTCTACTCTGAAGGTGATTTAAATAATGCAGAATGTATTTAGAGTAGAG